ACACACACACACACACACACACACACACACACACACACACACACACAAACACACACACACACACACACACACACACACACACACACACACCCTGAGGCCTGAACAGACTGAGTCACATCAGAAAAACCACTGAAGAAAAGAAGTTAAAGAACAGTAAAGAAAGAAGAAGAAAAGAGCAGTTTGTTATCATAATTAATTACAAAAAAAAGATCTGAAAAGCAGCTGTTGGACTTCTGACACATTCTGAAGACACACTGAACGTTTGGGGAATGTCACAGACTCGACTCCTGAGCGTGGTTCACTCTTTTTATGACTACAAAGAACCGAAGTAAACTACAAATCTATAAAACACAAGGAAAACCTGAACCCTGAAGGAAGCAGAATTTCCCTCGGGAATCCCCAAACACACACACGCACACACTGAATCAGTTGTTGTGGTAATCAGGCGGCTGATTGCAGGCTCTTCTAGCTGCACATCAACAGCGATTAATTACATTGCTGGAGGCAAGGAAAGAGGGAAGGAGAGGAGAGGACACAAAGGGAGAAAAGAAAGGAGACCTGAAAGAAGAGAGGATGCAGAAAAAAGGGAGGATTCAGAATAGGGGGGGAAGTGAAGGATGATGGGAGAAGTAATCACCAACCCTGCAGAGGAGGAAGGAAGTGAGGAAGAAGAGATGGAGGAATCTGATTAAACAGGAACTCCTTCAATTACAGCATTCAAGGTTCACGTAGCAGACTTCTCCTCTCCCTCATTTTGTTTGGGGCGACCAGACCAGTTCCAGATGTGGGACAGAGGACATGGTACACACACACACACACACACAAGCTGACCTTTAATCAACAAACTGCTCATGAGGCAAGCTACAAACAGCTAGAACGGCTCTGTTTAGCGAACCAGGATTAGAGCTGAGTATTGAGCTTTCAAATCATATTTCAGTTGCTTTTCTTTTTTTTTAAGTTGGAGTAAATATAGCCGATTGTCTTAAATGGACACATGATATCTTCTCACATTGATTTAAATCACTGAATCGTATCATGCCAGACTTTGTCACATCAGCTAGTAACGAATCGGGTTTCCAAAGAATCAGTTATAGTTAACGAGTCATTTTGTAGCATTACCTGTCACTTAGCTCGCCAGACACTATTCACCAACAAACTCCACAAGTCACAGAGTTTCCACTAAAAATGATTTCATGAAGACGTTCAAATGAAGACCTTTGTGGTCCAACAAAGCATGTTTTCATCCTTTAAAACTTGAGAATTGAGTTCAACTGCCACAAAGACGCCAACACTCACACTGTGCATGTGTGCATGTGTGTGTCTGTGTGTGATGTTGATGAGGGTCTTGTTCATGCAAAGGCCTCAAGGCAAAACGACCTCTTAATGTCTTCCTGTCTCTTACGCACACACACACACACACTCGGCTACAAACACTACCATATGGCTGCACTGGAATATCTATGCGTGCGTGTGTGTGTGTATTTTGATAGTGTTGACTACAGCCAGTACAACACCACATCCATGGGGTCCAATCGGCTCGTAATCAAAACCCCGGGTCAAAGTTATAGTCAGTCTAGTACGATCTTGTTGTATTGCTGCTGGTCTCAATACATCAATATGTGTCAATGCAAACTGATTAACAGCTCTGATCACAGGATGCATCACCATCATCATCATCACAGAAGAAGAGAGTCAAAGTGAAGATCTGTTCAGCCGGTGAGCCTGAAAACGCATCAACTCAAGAGACGTTGAGAGATTTCCAGTGTCAACACCGATTATTATTATTATTATTATTAACTAGGAAATCCTAGAACTAACTACAACCAACTGCATTAGAATCACTGTTGTCATGTCAGAATGTTATAAATGCATAACATACAAATGTCCTTCGTGTTCTATTAAAACATAAGGACCTGCCGGTCATATCATTGATCAGTGGAAGTATAATAACCCAGTGATAAATATCAATAAACTGATAGCTATGAGGATGTGTGATGTTGCCCTGTTTGTGTGTCTCAGCAGATCAATTAAGATCAGAGTTAGTTTCTCTGGTTATATTTTGCTGTTGATTAATCTGCTGCTGAATAAAAAAGAAATTAAATAATCACATCTGATCTCTGCAGCTCCAGCGGAGGAACAAGTCCAGGAAGAAAAAGCTGGAAACAAAAGTGAGGTGCAACAATGCAAACTCTGTGTGTGTGTGTGTGTGTGTGTGTGTGTATGTTCGGGGCAGCCAACCAGAGACTTCCCACCACAGGAACAAAACCTGCAGCTTCCTCCTCCTGCATGACTGCTCCTCAATGACCCCCCACCCTCTCTTCTTCATCACAACTCCTCCCCCTCCTCCTCCTCCTCCTCCTCCTCCAGGAGGAGCTGCTCCTCTCCTGCTGTGATAGTTTGTCCTTTAAAAAGTCTCGTTACTTTGAAGGGGCACAAACCAACATCGGTCGCCAGCAGCAGCATGAATGTGAAATAAAGAAAACAGAGCATGACCTGACATGACGTGACCAGGACCTACAGTCACCAGCTGAGCCACATGACTGCGACCGAACAGACCACAAACATGCAACCCTCTTCTCAAGATATACGCCGAAAGTGACGTCTGCAATCAGCTGCTAATATTTACATAACATACATTTAAAAAAGAAAAGAAGAAGGTGGACGAGATAAAGTCTCTACTATGGCTGTAGTAGTTTTAGTAATATAGCAGCAATATAATGATGAAAAGAAGCTCAAATTCATGAGTCTGAACTCACGCAGCTTGTGATGAACTTGATCAGATGTTTAAGGGGAGCTTTCAGTACTTGACAGGTTTTGATAGCCGGTGATACATTTTAAGCTCGTAGTAAAAACGTATTGAGGTTCAACGACTCATTGCACTCGTTTTGATTCCCTCATAAATAACAAACGTTTTGTATTTCACTCATACCTACAAGAATTTCGAATGAAATAGAGGAAAAGCTGATAACTGCAGCTTCCCGATTCAATATGTAGGAACTTTAACAAGCTGCTGGCACATCATCCTGCAAATAAACTACTTTTTCATGCACCAGTTTTGTGCAATGTGAGATAATAACTGCCCAATCCGACGCTAAACACAACACAGAACTTCCAGGCTTGTCAGCGACACGGAGAGCCTGGATTATGACAAAAAATGTACAAACTATTGAGATTCACTTTACAAGTATTCTATGAAGCAACAAATGTGGACAAAAATATGGAGATAAAGACTCAAAAAACGTCTGTCCTCTCTTAAGCGGACATACAGACGGTAGCTGAAATCGTTTTTCCTCTTTTATCGTTGGTGAAAGTCAAAGAGAGTTAAAAGAATTTCCTTGAGCCTCACACCATCTTTAACGTTGAAGACATATTTCCCCTGAGATGTTTTTTTGTAAGAGGTGAACTTCCAGCATCAATCCTTCACTTTACTGCCCGAATCGGTCGCCAGAAAAACCGTGAAAGCACACGTGTTTCATATCGGACGCCCACCCAGCCGTGACGTTTCGTACGGCTCTCTGATGCCAAAAACACACCGAAGCCCTGGAGGATGATGGGATATGTGACATGGTTACAGCTCGGAAACGTGCTTTTAAAAAATAATAATGTTGGGAGGGTGAGAGAGAATGAAGAAGATGAGGAATCCAGAGAAAGAGAGGAACGTCTTCCTCCGCTGAGACAGATGTGATGTCTTCAGCAGATGTGTTTAACCACAGAGAGTTTACGTGGACATAAATCATCTCTCATTCCAGCCTTCTGCAGGAACCTGATTTGAAACATTTCCTTCATCAGGTTCAGGGATTTAAGTGAATTCTGGTTTTCAAACACACCCCAAAAAAATGAACATGTGCAGGACAAAGAGCAATGACAGTGGAAGCATAGACGGTGGTAAGATGGAAGGGAAGAGATCTCTACAGCCACGTTCAGACCGGAGAAAAAGAAAACACAGCAAAGGACAACTTCTTATGTGGGCTTGTTGTTTCAGGTAGGAGTGAGACAATAAAGTCATTCCAGGACGGTTTGAGTCGTAGAAGCAGGAGTTTAACGGTTTGTCAGATGGCAAAACAACATTTATAATATCATGAGGAAGGATTTTACAAGTCTGTCGAGTTATCAAACGATCATTTTATCTCCTGGAGCGACAATCACGAAGAAAGGAAAAAGAAAAGCGGTCTTTACGTCGGAAAGTAACCCACCAGAAATGTGTGCTTGAAATTATTTGATTGGCCGTTGCCGGTTGATGTCACTTTGTTTGCATTGAGGCAAAAATTGAGCCTTGTTCAGCTTTTTGGTTCCAGAGGGTCCAACTATGAAATGACATGGACTGAACGTTGCTTGTTTATTTTCTTGCAAATGTTTCAAGGCGTTTGCTTTTCTACATCTCATTATGTTAAGGTAACACATTTCTATAGTACGAGGATGAATTGTAAAACCTAGAGAGGTTGTATTTAGGTTTTTTACCTCTCCTGCACAGTCTATGCTGTGTGTTGCTAGATAATTTTATTTGTTTTTACCGCTTCCTTTGTGCTAAAACGAATCAACTAAACTAAGAGTCAGAGAACAGAAGAATCACATCTTTGAGTGTGTGGCAAAAGGAAATAAGTGACCTCAAAATGTCCCTCTTAAAACCTAGAACTAAAAAAGCTTGAACTTAAAAAACTCATGCTTACACTGAGATATGATGTCATGGGCACTAGTACGACAAAAAACGTCTACATTTTAGATTATTTTCATTATTATTTCCTCAAATAAATCAAATTCATCATCTTGTTTTGTCCAAACAACAGTCACTCAAAGATATAAACTTTACTATCACACAAGAGAAGGAAAAGCAGCAAAACATCACAACAGAGAAACTAACACAAGGACTGTTTAGCATTTTTGCTTGAAAAAAAAAAAGATGGATAATCAATTCGAGATAACAGATAAAGTAATCTGCTCTGAAATGTGTTCAGGGCCCTTTTTGAAACTTGAAGGCGACATGTAAAACTAGCAGAGCTTTTATGGGTCTCTGACACACACACACACATACACGCACACAGCTCTAATAACCTCACACCT